CATTTATATGAGATAAGTCCGTCTTTAAAATGTCTTATTCGCAGCATCCTAGTTAATTCAATTTGAAATGGCTTCCGCACACACGGCCAACTGATCATTACTGAAATTCTCCCTTATCTGAAATGATAAACAATACAGTATCACGATAGCAAGTAAGACGTTTTAATAAACATCGCGTACATCAAATATGTGATTGAAGAATTAGTCAAAGAAATCTAAAAAAAAATCATTGTACAACAGTAACTCATTACTTACTTCCGAGAGCGCTCCTGCACCCAGTGTGTTACGTCACCAAGATGAGCGGTGTTCTCATATGATTGGTGGACTGGATTCATGTGGTGGAGTACAGCATTGTGGGTAATGCAGTCATTGAAAAACACACCACCGATTTCCAAGATTTATCTAGTGTGTGTGTGTGTGTGTGTGTGTGTGTGTGTGTGTGTGTGTGTGTGTGTGTGTGTGTGTGTGTGTGTGTGTGTGTGTAAAACATCGATAATATGGTTCATAATATATCAATATACGCGTCCCACGGTATTTAAATACAGACAGATTATGCTTCCAACACTGACAGGAATAAATGCCATTACACAATTTTAAACATTATCATGTTAAAATATACAGGAATGCTATAATTCCTTAAAAAAAAAAAGTCTAAAAGGACTGAGTGTTTGAAAACAAGCGTGTTCACGTGACGTGCGTAAGGCGCGAGGTTTTCTCAATTCTCAGTGAGACCGAGTGAGACAGACTGAGAAGGTTAACGTTGTATTTTGCTCTTTTAAACTTGTTCTGTCTAAAAAGTTGTGATTTTTTTCTACAAAAAAATAACGTTTGTAAGGATATATAAGTTTGTAATATTTTGGGAGATTCATATCGTGGACGTTTCTCCCACAGTTTCAGGACCTTAGCTGTCGTTACATTTACCAGTTGGCTGTGGCCTGATTACAGTAATCAAGGTCAAAGGTGGATAAGAGAAGGCCATGAGGATGGAACAGGAACAGTAACATGCAGGTGAGTGACATTTATGGTAAGAGTAAATATTGGATTTTATGTACAGTAGCCTATCCATCTACCCCTTGCATACAACGGTTAGGGTTTAGTCCCAGTTGTAACATGTAATAAGAGCAGCACATTGTAATAAAGTTCAATTATAATACACACACACACACACACACACACACACACACACACACACACAATAAACAGTGAGATTACATGTCTTAAATATGACATTACTCTTACATTTATATTAATATCATATACTTATTATATTCATATTATATACTATAGTAAATATATATGGTAATTGTTTTATTTGAAATGAAAAAAGTCACAGGACATATACAGGTTCAGAGTGTATAAAATAATAAGCTAATAAAATGTTGAACTAAAAATAATGAAACCACTATGTCTATTTTTAACAATAATATACAGTAATTTAACAACTGCATATTAAGAATGTTAGTCTCTAAATATTGTCAGTCTGTAGGGGTCAGTAAAGTGTCACTGTTGAGCAAAGCAGCCTGTACTGCATATCATAACTGCCATTTTTGCTGAGTACCATTTCATTCTATAAGCAGATGGTTGCTAAATATTTTAAATAGTGTTCACTGTCACGAGTTGTATAATGATGATACACACAAATCAGCCTCATTGCATGCTGCTATTACTGTAATATGAGGCTGGACATGGAAAAAAAAGAAAACAGAAAAGTACAGATATTGCATTTATTAGAAAAATCGTCCTTTATTTGTATTTTCAACACACTTTACAGTACTGAACAGTGAAAGAAAAAAATATACTGGTATATATTTATATATTTGTGTTTTTATATATAGCCGTTTGCTTATTAAATGCATTTTATTCACAAAATGACAACTCAGTTCTCTCAGAGGAAAACCTTTCATAAAAATAATATAATATAAAATAACTTGGACACATTATACACATTACAGCAATATAATGTACAAATCTTACAATCATTTTCCTGTGTTTTCTTTTTCATTTATATTATTACCATAACCTGTGAACAAGTAACGTATTATTTAAAGCCCAGAGAATAATTTCATTGGAGAGTCTCATGAGGCATGACTTTAAAGTACAAAGAAAAACTATTCTCTGATTAAGCCACGTCATCTTTCTGACTGTCTCTTGGTCATTAACCTCACAGAAGTATTTAAAACCCCTATTAAAAGCCTTTACAGTGCAGATTATTGACACAGAGGAGCTGATGTTGCTCAGAGCTTTAGCAGGAAATGGCATTGAGGACCAAAAAGACGACGTTTGGGCCAAGCCATTTAAAGTGCTCACCCTGTGCCATGCCATACCATTCCCCTCGATATCAGCCATCTCACAACACCTTTCTACAGACAAAATAAAGTGCTGGTTAAGACAAGTTTTAGAAATAACTGATGATTAGTCTGTTTTCCAATACAATTCAAATATTCACATTTAAAGGTGATGGGAGGTTGACTAAAATCCCCCAAATGAATGGCAGGGGAAATGACAGGAGAAAGAAAGGGGAAGGCGGGGGTTGCCCATGAAATTCCACAATTCAACTACAGTTCATTACAACTAAAAGTGACTCATTGTGACAGTGATTGATTCTGAGAGATCTCAAATTTACAATTCAACATTACAGTATATACAAAACAAGCAGTGATTTCGTCTACTATTTATATTAGTAGTTTTGATTTTTAAACCATCAAACCAGAATGATACAAAAATAAAAACTGTACACAAACTGTTCAAAGAAAACACTTGTTTTTTTCCTTTTGATATCCAAAAAGAATGGCAGCAAGGAATTAATTTGAATAATTTCTTAATAAGAAACAATTGCTACAGTGTCGTGTTAAAATGGCAAATATTATTTGTTAGCGTAGTGCTCACAACATTAACGCAAAGCCACACAACAAAGCATTTTAAGGTAAGACAGGCAAATGGAATGGGAATGACGTTAGTTTGCGCAAACCAATCGTGTAACCTCTGGCTTTCCTCCTGTGGTCCGCCAAATGAAAATTGATTCCATGACATCCTCTAATCCCGTCACAGACAAGTACAGTTTTCATATATGTACTAGTATGACCTCAAGTCACTGCTCTGACAGACACAGGCTTGAGGAAAGCTAAGCTACTGACCAGCAGAAACTAGCTTGTTATCATATTTCGAGAGGAATGCTTACAAACGCTGCCCCTCAATATAGCAACAATTGGTTTATTAAACTGAACTAAAACCAAACTAAAAAAAGTTCTGAGATGAGAGAGAGGCAATATTGCAAATCAAACATCAACCTGAGAACTCTCTCATTCTCTTACTTTCTGTCTCTCTCTTTCTGCCTTTAAAAGTTGGTGAAAAGTCAAATAGACATCACGAAAAGATGCCGGACATGAAATACATTAGAGCAACGGTTTATTTTAGTGGTATGATGACCTGCTTCCTCTGTCTGAACGAACCGTCTGCTATTGTATATTTGCCATGCAGAAAAAAACTACCCTACACCTCCAGATGGAGCTATTGTGTACTCACAGACATTTAGCAAGGCATATAGACATGAAACAAGTAGTCTGGGATATAATGCCAACATCTTATTATTCCACAATGTGACAGACAGGTAGAAACCCTGCAGTTGACATTAAGGCAAAAAGCATCAAACTCAATATGGCTGCATGTGACTCCGTTTATCGCTTTCCAGCGTCTAACCACCGACGTCTTTCTCTCATCCTTCTCTCGCCATCCTCGATCAATGCTTCTCCAACTTATCAGCTAAGCACTCGTTCCTTTGGCAAAACATAATGTAGTGTGTTGTGGTGTAGACAGAGAATGTATTACCAGCGTGAGTGGGTGAAGGTGAGAGAGTCTGTGCGAATTTGTGCTGCAATTGAGGAGACTGTTACTTTTACAAATTTGGCAGGAATGGATATAACAAAACAAAACAAAAAGAAGGCAAAACATATGTTTCAAAGCGTCACATGGCTTATTCTCGGAAAGTGACTATCATTTATTATTCGCATGGAAAGTGAGGGCAGTCCATGAGCAGTGACGGTGATAAATCCGAATGCTCGGTTGGCTTGAAAGCGACCGAGGAAGACTGACGGATGAAAGCAGGAATTATCACAAAGACAACGCGAACGCTCCATGCCGGCACAAACCATAATCGATGGAGATAGATTGCTTAAAAAGAGAAAGAGACAATCAAAGATGAAGACAAAAGCAGACACTCCTGTCCCATGATGCATTGCTTCACAACAGCTCCAGAGTTGAAGCTGGTGGTTCAGAAAGGCACACAGCCATCTTGCACTGGTAGCACTCCTGGGTAAAGGGTAAGAGGGGGTGGGACCAGCTAATCATTCCGACATCCTCATCCCTCCACAGTTTTTTGGACTGCAGACATTATCTCATTTCTCCCAGCAGATGCAACTGTGTTCTCGCTATGACAGAAATTGACAAAAAGTCTCTCAGATTTCTCTCAACACGTGAATCTGAGGATTTAAGTCCCTGTTGGAATGCTTTAAAAGCTGATTATTGACACTGATGCTCCTTCTTGAGATGGCTTTTTCCCCAGAGAGATTCCTTTCAGATCCAGGCCCCCTGAACACATACACAGACACACAGCCTGCGTGTTTGCATGTATTGTTATTTTCGATCGAAATTCACGTACGTCGTCTGTGAATGTGTGTATGCGTATGTGTGGAAATTCCAGAGTGCTACACTGACGTAATGGCCCTTTACAAACCCCACCATAATTCTGTTTCTCCATCCAAATTCACCCTCACTGCTGGATGGACTCCAGCTCACACTCGTAATCTACAGTTGCTGTGTTAAATACTTCTCTGATATCAATATTATTTTGTTCCCTTTTTGAAAAATAAAATTAAATGTCTTATTGGATTGGTACACAAGACTTAATCTGTTTATGGTCTAGCTATCAGAAACAGAAGAGTCCTATGTGAACGGTAGAGCGTAGGGACAGAGTTTCTAAAGGATGGCCCCTACTTAGCCCTCTGGGCCGGACAGCTGTTCCTTGAGTCGCACGTATTACGTGTCATCGGTAGGAGAGGACGACTTCTCCTCTTCCGTCTCCTCTACAGGGCTCTCATCAGACTGTCTCTCGTCCTCCTCCTCGACTACTGACTGAACCTGCAGTCTCCTCCGCCCCGACCTCTCGACCACTGCCTCTGTCACCTCCTCCCCATCCTCCATTTTTTCTTCTGCCTCGTCCTCCTCAGCCTCCACCGCCTCCTCGTCTTCTTTGTTTGCCTCCTGACCATGGTTGCCTATGTGGTTATGACTGGGAGAACCGACCTGTCCTGTTTCTCCCTCCAGGGTGAGCTGAAACTGGAATTTGCTCGTGCAGGATTCAAGCTCGTTATCTGGGCCGTCAGGCGGTGGTGACGGGCTCTGGGGAATGGTGCTTTGGTACCAGTCCCGGTTGTCCTCAAGGGTGTCCAAAATTTCCTGAGCATCAGGGTGGACCAGGTCCCCCCAGGTCTCCCACAGGGGATGCACAATATAATCGATAAAGCCCACCTAAATCAGGAAACCCAACATTTAGACTCTTTAGGAGCAGCTAATGTCAGAGAAGGTTGAGAATTTATGTTTGTGTGGGTGTTTATATGTGTACCTGACTCTTTTCCACAGACGCAGTGTGTTTGTCACACATGGGGCTGATTTCCATCCCACGCTCTCGCTCTTTATCACCCTGCCGGAAGAACTCCTCCATAATGCGCTCAGTCCACTGCCTGTACACTGCCAGGGGCTTCGTTGGGTTACTAAGGTCAGCACAGTGCACCATGTTCCTCAGGACCTACACACACACACACACACACACACACACACACACACACACACACACACACACACACACACACACTTGTGACTAAGACGTTTCTCTTTTCTCTTTTCTGGTCTGCACTTACAGACACGTGTCATTTTTGACATTATAGTTTTAAACTGTTTTGTTGCATTTTAAAGAAACACGTTTGTTGGTAATCACCTGTATTCGGTCATTATAATGATCCAGCATCAGCACTCCTGAACTGGTCACTTTCTTGGTCTCCACCATTGTCTTAAGATCTGCCAGCAAGCTCATATGCTTTGACATGTCTGTTGCCAGAACCTAAGAAGACGAGCAGCAGCATTTACACAGGAAATAAGACAGTAGACCCTCAGAAATTCAAAAATAATCTAACGTTTAGTGCAGTGCAATGAGCATCTAACCATGTCAATGACCAGCTTGCGCAGACTCTGCCGTTGCCGTTTGGTGAGGTTCTGAAAGATGTCACAGTTCTCCTCATGCAGAAGCTTGAAGCCTACAGCCAGGTGGTGGTTCTCCAGTACAGATTCATCGTTGTACATTAATGCCAATTCTGAGTCTGTGAAACAGAGTAGACCAGGCTATCAGTGGATTTCATGGCTCAACAGCAAGGATTGCCCACTGGGCCCATGGCCAGTGTGAAAGAGTTTTTGGCCAATACTGAATACTGAAAAGCATACATTTGTTGATTTTCTACATACATGTTTATGCCCTGGAAATGTATTCGGCAGTTGTAGCTAGTTGGACACAAGGTGTTGTCTTATTGCTCAATTATTTTAATCTAAACTTTGATTTAATTTTTTAAAAAATGTTAACAAAAAATTCATAAGGGAATTGATTTACACGCTTTATTAATTAGTTCAGACTAAAATAAAGGACACATGAAAAGTGGGGTGGCAGAGTAGACCCTGTATAAAAAGGTTGAGGAACTGCACATATGTCCTCTATTGGGCACAGTACTTCAAAAAAACAAGCATTTTAGAAAACATATAGTATTGTTGCTGATTTTCCTCATTTTGTTCTCAGATACAGGATATTTTTCTCTGGCATCTTCCCGCATTCCATGGCTAGCCAAGTTATCAATATAATTATCTATAACCCCATTTCCAAAAGATTTGATTTGATTAGTTAATTCTCTTGAACCTTTATTTAACTGATACAAGTAGGGTTAGGGTTAGTCTTCACTGACTAACTTTATTGTATTTTTGTAAATATAAACAATTTTTGATTTTGTTGGCTGGAACACACTCCAAAAAAGTTGGGAAAGAGGCAAAATAAAAGTGAAAAGACTAGAATATCCAAGATAAACTGTTTTGACAGTCCACAATAAGCATGTGAATTTGTAATGGGTGAGGGTATTGTGATTGGGTATAAAAGGAGCATCCACCAAAGGCTCATTTGCAAGCAAAGATGGGTCATGAGAGAATTGTCACACAATTCGAAAATCACATTTCTCAATGCAAGATTGCAACGAACTTGGGTCTTTCACCATACCACCCTTACGAAAAAGAAGTTTATTCAAGTATGCTATTAGTATACTTATTTAAAACAAAAAAATAAATAAAAATAAGTACACTTTCAGTCTACTTTTTATGTCCTTCTCAGAAATATAGTTTGTGTACTTCTCAGAAATACTTAAAATTGCACTTAAGTATACTTTACTTATACTAACAAGTCTTAGTATATTTGGTGTATACTTTTACTCAATCTTTTGATCGAGATATACTTAAAAGTATATAATTAAGTAGTTGTAGTTGTGTTTAATCTTTTGATTGAGTAGCCTATTAAATACTTTTTCACATAGTTTTACATACTGTCTTAAAAACTTTCATTGTTTGAAAATATTGATTTATAAAGAAAACAGATATGTTCCTAATTTTGAGTATCTGCATTTTTGTGTAGGCTAGTAGTCCACTGGTAGTGTACATATGGGTAGCAATATTCAATTTGAAATGTAAAATGCAAAATGACAGTGCAATATGTACAATGACAATGCAATATGTAAAATGGCAATGCATTTCTACATTTAAATTTACATTTTCCATTACATTTGTGCAATGTTTGGTGCAGAAATTATTAGATATGTTTAATATGTTCAATCAAAAACTGTAGCAAAATGATAATTTAAATGTTATTTTTCTAAATTGCATTTTCATTAATTGTCCCGCAATGAATGTAGCAAAATTCAATGTGCAAATTGAGAATGCATTCCGAGCCGATGGGCCCCGCCCCCACCCACCCTGTCAATCACTGCATGAAGTTGGCCCCTCCCCCACCCACCCTGTCAATCACTGCATGAAGTTGGCCCTGCCCCCTCCCACCCTGTCAATCACTGCATGAAGTTGGCCCCGCCCCCACCCACCCACCCACCCACCCTGTCAATCACTGCGTGAAGTTGGCCCCGCCCCCACCCAATGCAAAACGTTGGCAAAATAGGCTCAATTATTTCTACTTCGTTTGTGGTGGTTTGTGCTGTTGTACATTTTTTTGTTTGTTTTGTTTGTTATAGGTCATTCTGAGGTCACCCAGCCCCCCACATGCTCCAAATAAAATAGTCTTGTTCGTTTGTGCCGGTTAAAGTTTTGTTTGTGCTGCTTCGTTTTTTTTAAGATATTAGACCTATAGACATTAAATTACAGGGGATGACATCACCTGCCCCCGACCTGCTCCACATTCACCCAAAATACTTCTATGAATTTGACCCGTCAGATTCCGTGACCCTATTGTAGGCTACCTATAGATTTATCAATATCTGATCAATATGCTTAATAAAATAGAAATGGGAGATGGTCACATCACATGAGTCACTTTATTGAACATTACAGTCAGTTATGAAGAAATAAAGAGTGGTCACAATTTTCGGTATGAATTTGACCCATCATATTCTGTAATCTCAGTGTAATAGGCCTATGCATTTGTAAGGAAAAACTGTTATGATCTCCAACATTATTGGGTAATTATAGTTAATAGTAATAAGAATAAAGATAAGCATATCAGACAATGAGAATATTTTATACAAAACCACATAATGTTCACACCAAACGGGTGTCGATGCCTGATAAGGCAGAAAATGATCCCAGACATTCCAACAATGCACTTGTTCTATCACCTGCAGACGCGTAATAATCTTCGGAAACACTACCATTTCTCTGTTCACTCTCCACTTCTTCTGCCAGTGAATTTAACGCTCGTATCAGCAGCTCTGCCGTGTTTCATTCCAACACCTCAAAACACGTCACACCTAGCCTATGATTACCTGTTGGCGAGGAGGGGGCGGGGCCAACTTCACGCAGTGATTGACAGGGCGGGAGGGGGCGGGGACGTGATCGGCATTTTGCATTTTCAATTTGCACACTGAATTTTGCTACATTCATTGCGGGACATTTAATGAAAATGCAATCGCAAGTGTCTTAAATGTGAGTGTAAATGCAATTAAGAAAAATAACATTTAAATGATCATTTTGCTACAGTTTTTGCTTGAACATATTAGACATATCTAATCATTTCTGTAATACATTTTCATTTTCATTTTGCAACTTATAAAGCGTTAAAATATGTATTCAATTTACATATTAAAACTAGTGTATGAAATGGCAAATGTAAATTATATAATTGTATCATCATTTTAATTTTGCACCAACGTTGCACAAATGTAATGGGAAATGTAAATTTAAATACAGAAATGCATTGCCATTTTACATATTGCATTGTCATTTTGCATATTACATTTCAAATTGAATATTGCTACCCATATGCTTCCATAATACATAGGAATTTACTTCTACATTTTCCCCGACATTGACTGAATTTTCCAGCAATCTATGTTTTCACTGTATTACGGTAGCGGGCGCTATTACGCATCTTCTGAAATAGTACCAAATCTCCAGTTCAAAACACAGGTGAAGAAGCAGAAACAAGCGATAGAAGATTGCTTACGCTAATGTAAGATAACGTGATCATCAAACATTAAACAGCATATAAATCAAACCTACCTAACGTTACTGAATGAAATGTCGAACCTATGAAGAGGAAACGACTGTGAAGCTTTGGGGGTGTTGATGGACTCGATCTACTCCATCTGTGTTTTAATCATCGTTCTGAATCCGATCCGGACGTAGTCTTTGACAAAAATGCGATTTTCTCAGCTTTTTGATTAAAACGTTGCTTTTTAAATGAAACTTACCCAGATTCAAGTGAAGCTAGAATAAAATATAAATGGAAAGAGTTAAAGTATAGTTATTTTTCAAGTATAAAAAAATTAATACCCAAATAGGAACATAGTATACTTAAAGTGCAATAATAATAAAAAAAAATAGTAAACTATAAGTATGGTTATGTACACTTATAAAACTACTAAACTAGTAGTTTACTAAGAGTACACTTTAAAGTGTACATTCATAAACTAAAAATGTGCTACAAATATTTGACTAGTAATCTATCAGTATACCTATAAGTTCACTTGTAATATAGTTGCAGTGCAAACGAAAAACTTAGTTGTAAACTAGTTGTGTACTTAAAGTTTACTAGTACTGTTACACTTATAGTACACTTACAAGTATACTTTTATATACTAAAAAGTGGGCTAATTTAGTCCCAAGTAGTATTGAAACAGTACACTTACAAGTATACTTCGATGACGAAAAAATGAAGTTTTAACATCTACTCTCGTGTAATGGAAATCAAATCTATTACATTGATATTAGTATACTTACTACATAAAGTATACTTAAAATAAACTTGAACTTCACTAAAGTATACTTAATAAAAAAATATTTCCATTACACGAGAGTAGATGTTAAAACTTCATGCTGATTTGTACTCGGCTTTCGCCAAGATAAGCAAAACTAAGACGTAGTTTTACAGTAAACTATGCTTCTCCATCCATTTACGCTTCTTTCCATAAGGTAGTGTGACTCCCCTTCTGTCCGGCGTTAACGGCAGCAGTGTACTTGTGTACTATGTACTTGTGTACTCAGTGTACTACAGGACCAGCACGACAACCGTCTGGATTGAGCCGAGTAGGGGACATCTCTAGGGTCTTCAAGTGGGCACCTTCCGTCCTCAGTGTTTCGTCGACTAGCCCACGACACCTCAAGAGGGCTCGACAGTGACTCTGGCGTCCCAGAGTCACCCCCCTCCGTCCCCCACTCAACTCAGTCCAGCTTACTGACCTCTACATCCCTCCTGCTGCTGAGACCTAACCACAATCTCACAATCTCTCCGCAACCCAACCATACGCACCAACCCGTTTGACTAAGGCTGTCGAGCCCCACTGGTGCGTTAAAGCAGTTTCAGTGGCAACGGTTCCGTATGGCGTACCACCTACCGCAAAACACAATATCTGCCCAACCACCCGTCATACACGCAATATCCACAGGAACGTATACAAATAAACCAACAGCCTCTTCAAGAATTCTACGAAACCGTAGCGTGGCGGCCTGTACACAGCCAGCTAGAATCTTTCCGTCTCAACCACAGCCAGTTGCTGCTCCTTTCTGCTGCTTCAGATAAGTTCTTTACTGTGCGACGCAACTCTTGGCCGCTGAATCCGACGTCTCTGAGGAACCGGGTTGTAGAGTGTGCCACAAAACCTCGGCAACCCACTTCCACTGGATAAACCTGGACTCTCCATCCTCGCTGTTCTGCTTCAGTGGCCAGATGAGCATACCGCAGTTTCTTCCTCTCATATGCCTCATCTACAGCATCCTCCCATGGCACTGTTAACTCTATCAGTTGAACAATGCGTGCTGATCCAGACCACAAAACAATATCTGGTCGGAGGTTAGTGGTGGCAATCTCAGGTGGAAAAATAAGCCGTTGATCAAGATCAGCCAGCATCTTCCAGTCCCCAGCAGCTTCCAGTTCTCCTGGGCGAGAATTGGTGTTAACAGCTTTTCTTGGTGGTTGCTCGCCTGGGCGGAGGAATATTGTCTTCTGCGTGTAATGTTTTGCTAGAACAGGCGGCAACTTATTGGTCATACTACGCTTGCCTTCCAATGCTAAAGCTTAACTTGAAGTACACTTAATTTTCGTAAGGGCATACATAATATTGTGAAAAGATTCAGGGAATCCAGAGAAATCCCAGTCCATGTGGGGCAAGGCCGGAAACCTCTGTTAAATGTGTGTGACCTTTGCATGAGAAACTTTTACTGTGTTAAATATAATCACATTGGCTCGGGAAAACTGTTGTCACTTGTGTGCTGTGGTCACATGAGTCCACGTTTCAGCTTGTTTTTGCCAAAAAAACGAACTTTGAGTTCTCAGTCCCGGGACAAAGTCGAAAGGGACAAACTAGACTTTGATCGGCGACAGGTGCAAAAGCAAACATCTGCCATGGAATGGGGGTGCATCAGTGCAAACAGTACGAGTGACTTTCATGTGTGTGAAGGTACCACTGACGTGGAGACGTATTTTGGGATTGTACAGACAGAGATATTTAATGGCATCAAGATGACATCTTTCTTGGGAAGCCTCATTCTGCATGTGTTAGAACAGAGTGGTTTCGTAGACACTCTACACCTGCAGTCCAGATCTGTCTCCTATTGAAATGTGTGACCCATCATGAAAAGGAGAATCATACAACGATGGCCACGGACTGTTGAACAGATGTCTTGTATAAAAATGAAACAATTAGTATCCTCAATTCCCATTAAAAACTGTTTCCTGATTAAAAGGAAAGGAGATGTGACACTGTCCCAACTTTTTTGGAGTGTGTTGCATCCATCAAAATCAAAAATGTGTTTATTTACAAAATACAATTAAGTTGGTCAGTGACACCATTGGAAATCTTTTCTTTGTACTTTTGTCAGTTAAATAAAGCTTCACAGATTCTTGATTTTATTGCATTTTACAAAATGTCCCAACTTTTATGGAAATGGGGTTGTAGCTGACTAACACAGATTAGATTTTGGCAAAATTGCAAAAAAAATTACTTGTGATGGTCTTGGAAGCATTTTATTACATTTTATTTAATATAATTAATTATGATGTGGCCCATTGAAAAAGCAAAATACATTCGTATCATTGAGATTGAGCCCTGTAAATCTGTGCTGCCCTAAACCAGTTCTTAGATGTCCAACTCACCAAAATTAACATCATATTCATTTGACATGCATGTTTTTTGTCATATAATACTTGTCAAATGATCAGGGCTGCGTTTCTTAAAACCATCTTGAGCTAAGTTGATCATAGAGACCATTATTGTCAATAGTTCTACAATCTGCCTAGGCTTAAGATGCTTTTGGGAAACGCAGCCTAGGATGATTCATCAACATCATAATTTTTTACAATGTAGACTTACTGGTGTTGATGAGGAACTGGTTGGAAACTCCAGGGTGGTCTACATCATGAATGGCAGCAGCGAACAATGCAGCCAGGATTTCAAGATCAGTGAAAACAGCCTGGTGGGAAGATACAGGAGTACAATGGTCACTATAGTGTCGGTGCTGACTTTGAAATCTTGATTTCATATTATGAAACTTTTTGCTTCTGAATGAGCACTGGCTCTCCCATGTTAGCATATACTCACGTCCAGTGCCGGTGTGGAGAGCAGCACATGTGTTGACTGTGTGACATCAGCGGCATGCAGGCTGTTGTGATAGGCCACGTTGGCATGGTAGTGGTCTTCCAGTGTCATTACATAGGTGATAAACGTATCCACTGGGATCCCAAATGTCTTCAATAGATCCCTTTCCTTTAGTGCATTTCAGAACGTAGACAGAACATAGTGAATGGTCAATGTAAAGGATGAAGAGGTTTGCTATTGTAACTAGTAGGGCTGGGTAATTCAGTTGGGTATATTTCAGTTGTAATGTCTATTTTGCTTACATATAGTATGAAGAAATTATTTCTCTGCTAATGCTTATACAGTGCAGTCAGTGTTTTCCACATTACACATTTTTTTATTGCATCACATTCAAAACAGACTGCAAACTCACATTCACAACTCAGCAGGAAAACTGATAGAGGGAATCTTCTAACTTTACGAAAATGAACAACTATGTAGTTGAGTGAGTTAGTTCAGCAGAATGCTGTGGCATGTGCAAGACGGGAAGTAAAAACATATTTCCACATAGCCACTGAAAAAAGGCATTGAGTAAAAGATTGATTTAGGGATTTTAAGGAATCAATACATCGATTGTTCAAATGGAGCTAATTGGAAAATCAATATTTTTACCCATCCCTAATAATGAGCATGCAAAACCACACCGACATCTTTGCATCTGACATTTTTCATAAGCACAGCACGGAAGCATTCATAGCAAAAACCAGGGACCACACACCTGGAAGATAGCAAACATCATGCAACTTAGAGGTCTGTTATTAGAGTACTCTGCCACATGGAAGATATTAAGGCCCCACTTGTTTAAATCATTCAGCTCCTGTAAAGATAAATTCAATTATAACAAATCCATTCGACAAACAGACTTTTTAATACTGACAATGGTAACATAGAGTACTGTATGTATGCATTGTGTCTGTACCCTAGCCAGTGCGTCCTCCTGCTCGGTTTTGACCCCGAAGCGGGGCAGGGCTGCACTAGTGAGGCTCGAGCTATGTGTAAGCTTCTTGACTCCGCTGATGTGAGACATTGGTTTATCTCGCTCCCGAAGCGTAGGAGAGGGAATCTCCACCTCATTCTGCTTGTCTGGGACACAACAAATGCATGGACTTTTAACAGATGACAGCTCATTTCAAATCATTAAGCATTGAGTGTTTCAGAGCAGAGCGTGTGTACTCTACTATAACCTACTGCAATGTTGAAACTTAGGTTCTGCACTTTTGAAAATAGAAGCAAAGGGCTGAGATGTACAAAGCGGAGCGTGAGCGGACTCGCTTACCTAGGAACGTAGTGGAGATGTATTCAGACACCTGATTCCCAGAGCGGCTCATCTCAGACAGATGAGACAGTTCCCTGTTTAACATCCTCTTGAACTAGAGATAGGAAAAGGGAAAGATGGAGATAGATAGACAGGGAAGAGAGGGGAGTTATAAGTATGCAGAAGATGGTAATAATGCAGAAAACGGAAAGTTTTAGTCCATTTGAACATAAATGGACATCATATAGATTATCACATAGTAAGATGTCAAATACGTGTCAAAAGGCATAGTTCATCCCAAAGTGGAATTAAAAAATCATCAAGAATGTTGGGGGTTTCAAACAACATTTTAAACCTACTGACTTTTATTGTATGGACAAAAACATGGAAGAAATAGTCATACAGGTTTAGAACGACAGGTGGTTGAGTAAATGATGACAGAATTTAAATTATTTGGGTGAACTATCCCATTACTGCTTATATTCTTCTCTATTAATCAGATTGTTACTTTTGCTTTACTGCAAAGCATATGGGCATAAGACATATGTTGAAAACATCTGAATTATGTTACCTAAACATGCCGTGTATGTGGTAATGCCCGGTTATATAGAGCTTGTGCTTATAAAGCGTGCAGATATTTACATGCAAATAAACCTACGGCATTTCTAATGTTGTGTGGTTAGAGGAAGGGCCTGTCTTTAATTAAAATCTAATTAAGTAATTGCCATGGGGGGAGAACATTGTTGAATGATCTCACATCTCCACAAACCATTGCTTAACACAAAAAAAGATAACAGTTTTGTAGCAAAATTAGTTGTTTATAAGAAACAAAATACGTATGTGCCTCAAATGACTGAAATTGTGCAACTTCAGCAGATAACACAAGACAACTACACAGTCGCACAGCACGACTCCGATGAGACCCCTGGTCTGTCCCACTGACTGGTCCTTCACACATTACAATCTCCATGGAAACCAGCAGGTTTCCTTAGCAACTGTCTCCTCACAGTCCCTCCTGCAGCATGATGGGAGTGAGGCGATGGGTTGGGTGACAATCTGAGAGAGTAGGCAGGTGTCTGTCTCTGACCTCCTCCAAGGTCAACACTCTCTGTATCACTCTCCATCTATTCTGTTCTTCTCCATTCTGTCTTTAAGCCCTCCTTTTTGTTTCCTGTCTCTTTTCATCTCTGTCCTCCACATTCTATCCTTTTTTCTCTGCAGTCATATTTTTCCATTGATTGTGTTTCTATTCATTCTCTTTCATGGTGTGCATCTAATTCCCTTCCTAGATGATATGGACGTGTGTGTACTGTGTATTAGACATATGCAAATGTATAATTTATATTACATGCATCATTATCGTTGTTGTTAAATCTTCTATAGCTAGCGAAATATAACGTGTTTTGATGACATTGTCCCTGACATCAGGTTTGAAGACAATGTGAGAATGCCATAAAATAATTCACAATATCTAATCAGCAACACAATAGGGGAAATAACAATCAATGTTAAATCTAATTTTTAATCGAGTCCAAGTCATTTTCCTTTCACAGCCACAGTATAAACTCCCTCACTTTAAACCTGAATCTTCCTGAATCGTCTCTTAGGGATCAGTACACAATGTCTATCTCACACAGAGTTTATATAAAGCTTCATTTACAAAACTCTCTTCCCTGTACAAGTGCATATTACATACTGTACCAAGGATCTGTTTGTACTGTGCTGAGTCATTATTTAAACATTCACAGAGTGCCAACTGTTTTTAGCATGCATGCATCCTCTAGAGGACCAAGATGATACCAGATCATGTGGAAAGGAAATCAGACCAAATTAATACAAATATGTGTTACTGGGGGAGTCTGATACTATCTGTTGCCTTTATTATTTATTAAGACTAAGCTTGATGGTTGAGTTTGATGAAAGGGTGAGCACAAAAACATGGCAGCAACATATTCATTTCAATCTTTAAAGGTAAATTACATTGTGATTGTATTATAGTCGTACCAATTTATATATAGGAATTGTATAATAATTATATTATATATTGTTAATTATTAATAAATATACCATTTTAAAATAGCATTAATAACAAAGAATACTGTGTGGTAGGTCTTGGATTATGCTAATCTAAAATGCTGTGCTTCTGCATTTCAATGAGCTAATGTCTACAGGTCTATTCAGAAACAGAGATAAAACACATCTGTCATTCAAGTTCAACAATTAAGAACAAAGAAATAGAAAACAGTTCCCTGAAACCACAGAGAGCAACCCTTTCCTTGTTGAAATGTGGCTCAGAGTCACAGATTGTGTCCCAATGTTTCTAATTATATCCGGCAAGAACAAACCTTAAGTTTTACCTGTGATAGATTTAAGGTGTGTTGTTGCTGGATAGAATTAAAACACAAACACTGACTCTGCCACATTTCAAAATCATCATTATCTGTGTCAAACATCTCAACAGTAAACAAGTCTTGGGTGAAAGAACTATGCAGAAGAAAGCTACCAAATATTGAGCAGATAAAGCCTGTTCCCAAACCAGAGAGGTAATGATAGAGGAAGTGGGAAGAGTGCAGTTGAGGTATCCTGAGAACCGTACAGGTTCTGTCCAACTCTAGGCACTTAAACAACGTAAGCCAAGTGCTTTGGCGGCAGCCATTTGTTCCCTAGCTCTCAAAGTGTCACTGAATAAGTGCCTAAGTTAGAGCTCAGGTTTGAAATCACACTTGTGGTCTGGAGACTGGTACACATTTGGAGACACAAGCATACAACAAACATTGGTCTTATCACATGTCGTCTGTTCCAGAAGCATTACAGTTCGATCACCTAAGCAACTTTTCTTTCCCCCCACATTTCTGTTTATCATCCTGCTGAGAAAACATCCTTTCTCCTTTTCAGGACCTGAAGTTTGTTAACAGATATTTAGCAACTTTTATTCCATACTTTTATTCTATTCATGCTGGCCCTACCTGGTCCCACCAACCAATCAGCCAGGGTTTGGAGCAGGTATCACAGAACAGATCCATGAAGGGGGTCCTACGCTCGGTGGCCTGACCACCCCCATCCAGCACCCCATCTCCAGCTGCCTCAAGCTCCAGCTCTGACCCTCTTCTCCCCTGCAGGGGGCTGTAGCTGGAGGAGTGGGCCAGCCGGTAGCCTCCGGGCACAGGTGAGGGGCAGGAAGAGGGCGTTGGGTCAATGGCCTCCACCACGCCCATGCTGAGGGTGACGGACGGCGTGGACCGTTGGCAAAGGCAAGAGGCGCGGAAGTGCACGGGGGCCGAAGCGCGGCGGGTGCTCCAGCGGCATGTGGGTGCGGTCAGGGTGTGGGCAGAGAGGCCGCAGCCTAGCCGGCCAGGGTGCTCCAGAGTGACGGCTGCCCCCAAGAGGCGGGGAGCAAAGGGGTAAAAGTCCAGCGGCAAGCGCTCGCTAAGGCTGTCTCTCTACATGCAGCAAGCAGTGTGAGAACCAGGCCCTCCTGAAAACCACTGAGTGGGCCCCACTGCAATCTGCAGGCGAGTGACCCCTGCAAATCCACAGGCCGAAGGAACTACATCTCATCCCAGCAGCTGAGTAGAGCTGACCCCGATCAAACAGGAGGGGGAGAAAGTGACGAGGGGTGGAACGGACAAAGATGGAGAGTCAAAGAGACGGAACCGTCTGAAGGACACAGAGAGGATGCGGAGGGAAGGAGAACAGAGGAATTATAGGAGCTAAGGAAAAAGATGGAGATGGAGCAAATAGCTAACGGAGACTGACTGAGGGATGACAGGACGAGGAAGGAAAACAACAACAACACACAGGTGACAGCCGGAGAAAGCGGTTAAGAGGAGACAGAGGACAACGGAAACAAGCAGACAGAAACACAAGAAAAGACGGGGCCTTTAGTCAAAAGCCAAACTACACAAGAGAGCGGTGGTCTGGAAAAACATCCTTTTTCTCTCTCCCTGCGTCGACGCCCCTCCCCCACCGCAGAGCTCCAGGACCCGGGCCCAGCGTTCCCAGCGAGTTGTGTTCAGAGCGCACAGTCCATGAAGCACAATACCAGTCCTGTCACAACGCAACTCTCTTCAGCAGCCCCACTGTTTAATCCACACGCGGTGTCAGCCTCGCCGATGCAGCTCAGCCGATGCTCTGCCTCTCGCTCTGTTTCCCTGGATGCTGTTGACAGATCTCGCAAGCTAATCAGCCGCTGTGGCAGGAGGCGCGTGCTTGGGTGTGTGTGTGTGTGCGTGTACACGCACCCTAAGAGCGCATGTGCGGCAGACGGCATGTAAGAGTGTAGAAAATGGACAAACGTTTGTATGTGTGTGAGATGTATAGTCTGACAAAGAGAAGGGGAAAGAATCTAGGCTTTAGTGTTTCCTCTTATCTCTGCATGAATGATTCTGCCATGCATATGGGAGTGAATGTGTGTGTGTGTGTGTGTGTGTGTGTGTGTGTGTGTGTGATTATGTGAGAGAGATATGAGAGATCTTCAATTCACACATGTTGTAATATACACAAACAAACACTGCTTACTTCTCTTACTGATGTCCATCTTATGAGGTATATAGCTAAACACATGAAGCACCAGTAATATGGTATATGGAAACAACCATACAAAAAGCTGCACATCCAAAGTCATGGTACTGTCTCTTTAAACAGGCAAGGTATGGAAGAGAGCAACCGATTTTTCATTGGCCAGCATCTAAATCACATGCCTCATTGCCACAGCGAAGAGCCAATGGATAAACTGGCAGGGTAGACCTTGCTGCAGCTCGATAGCAACGAAGGTTACAGCAGAAACACTGGCATCAGGACCAGACTGCAGCCCCCTCCTCCCTCCCTCCCTCCCTCATGTCCTCCCCATCCACAAACCCTCTTTTTTCTCCCTCTCTCTCCTTCTCTTCTACAACTCTCAAACCAGAGCAGCGTGTATGACAAGGCTGGCAGAGCTGCACACAAAAGCTATTTGCTTCCGTGTTTACGGATGATGATTAAAAATACATTAAAGAAAGGAACATCACTCAGAAGGGACCATATCAGATCCGGCACACACAACCTGCTCAAGAATCGTTCTCCGCATACGCATAGATGTAGTCCTTCATGTGTGATGATTCACAGAATGGCAGATCTTGAAACCTCTCCTTGAGGAAATCATGTAACATGTTTCATAAAATGTACAGGATGGAAATTATCAACCATGAATGGATACTTGAAATGGAAAAAAAACACCTAGTCTGAAAGGCCACAAACTTATGGTAGACTGTATGTAGACAAAATTGGTCTTTGAGAAGGTAACCAAACTAGGCAGCACAGATGTAACAGTAAGTGATTGAAGAAACACCTTGTTGGAAGCCATCTCGCTAACAGAGCGGTGGGTCTGAATGGTCTCCAGCTGGTCCAAACACCAGTCAAGTTCATCCAGAGTCTCCCGAGCCAGCTGCTGGTATGTCTCATCTGCACAGGACATAAGACAGCCATCAGCATCACATCACAACAGCACTGACGCATACATTTAACACTCACTGTGAGAACTTCGTTTGTGAACAGTGGGGATGTTGTTTCCTGACAGGAGGACATGAAGAATTGTCAGAGTGATGTCTTCAAAAAAAAAAAAGCTTCCAAGCATGAATATTTCAAGAGCTTCATATGGAGAGATCAAATGCCTCATAAATAATGAATCTTTTTACTGGTAAGAATTAATAATCATATGTTTTTTTTCAAACCAGAGGAATGAGAGAATAAAAAGGAAGAAGTCTACAGCGGCTAAATTTCTAAAATCATGTAACATAAACCAAGTTATAAACGTATAAAAATATATCAAAGAAAGCTCAACAAAAAGGAACATCAGTTATATAGAGAAGAACCATGTTGTTAAACACTACAAATACAACAAATGTATTCAGTGTGTAGAAAAATAAGCATAGTCATTGCTCATAGACAAATAATAAAGCAGATGTCACACTTAACTGATGGGTCTAATTCAAATAGCTAAAATATAAGGCAAGAAGTATGTGGACACCCCTTTATAATTATACTTTTTTTTTTTTTTATGAAGTCTGGCATGGAGGAACTGGACTGGCCTGCACAAAGCCAAGGCAGGCGACATCACCCAACTTCAGTGTCTGACCTCATTAATGCTTTAGTTGAACATTAATTTCAAAAGCAGTAACCTCTCCTTTTGCTGCTATATCAGCTTACACTCTTCAAAGAAGTTGTTCGCCTATAGATGTGTGAATCTGCATCACCAAGGGGTAATCAAAAGGTAGATTCAGAAAAATCTACCTTTTTAGTCTTGAAGAAAACAATTAAATGACTGCTGGTCCTAACTTTGTGAAGTCAGTTGCATAAAAAGGTGCATTGGTCTAATTGGAATCGGAAAAGCAAGACTGATTTCTTATCTAAATGCTAGTTGGTCAAACTAGGTCTTAAGACACATTCTTAGCATATAGGCTTTGTTTATGCGACTGGATTGCCATTACAATTCCACTTGATCCCCAAATTGTTAAAAAAGCATTCAGATCTGGGACTTTAACTACTACTTTAACTTCTACACAGACTTATTAAACCATTTCTGTTGACTGCTTCTGCAAAAAAAGAGTTGAAAGCGAGCAATTTAGAAGAGTGTCCACATACTTTTAGCCATATAATGTACATTAAAATATCTGATAAAAGTTATATTCTATAGAATTCAAATTTATTTTATTGTATTTTCTCAACATGTGCAGCACGTTCACTGCTTATATGCCTCGGAGTTTCTTTTTTAAACTAGCGGCTGAGGGCTGTTATTTGGCTAGTTAAAGCATCTGGTTAGATTCCAGCCCCTGTTTCCCATATGGCTCCACTATTTCTGATGCTGTAATGTATTTTACTGGCAACAGTGTCTACAAGAGGAAGTGTATGCGTAATGTGAGAGACACTGTGTGGGAGAGTGCTGGTGTGGGAGATAGAAAGCTCACCAGTGACTAAGTTACAGTCCAGTAAACATACCTGAGAGCGTTGCTGGGGGAACCGTTGGTTGGCTGGTCACTGGTGACCTCCTATGGACAAAAAGATAATTACATCAGTGATAGTGGTAGAGGTCGCCCTCTACTGGTATAAATTCAATTAGAATTGCTCACTGGGAGAAAAGTTGCACTTGTTATGGACCGAGCAAATAAAGTAAAATATTACACACACACAAAAAAAATCTAAATATATAATATATATTTAGGCCTATATATAATTACATATTATATAATACATATTTATATAAATGTCACATTTTAAAATATTTATTTTCACATAAAATAAGATTTAAAAAAAATGTATGTTAAAATTAAGAGTTAAGCTGTGTGAGCATGCATTATTTTTGTACATTGTTTTTATTTATTCATCATAAAAAATAAAAATAAATTCTGTATTGGAAAGGAAACACTGATGGCCATAAGGGGGCAGAGCAGAAATATAGAAATTGTTGCATCAAAGCTAAAAACTGACTTGTTAGTGGGAGTCGTGACGTTGGCGAGAATGGTGAAGTTGCTTCTGACAGTTCGCAGACTAGCCAACACCTGCGTTAAAGAGACAGAGAGGAGAAAAAGTGAGAGAGCAAGTGAACAGCAGGATATCACTCAACTCCAACTCAGCAAGTCATGACAAGCAATTAGCACTCATTATATACTGTTTGCCAGACACAACAGGGGCTTACCTGAGCAAAAGGGGTGACTATGAGATCTTCAGCATGACTGCAGAAAGAGGAAAGAGCAGTCCCAGTAAATGGGGAGAAAAAAAATAGGTAGATGTTTACAAATGGTCTTTTATAGTATTGAGATGAGGCAAGGAATCATCCCCAGTTGTGAGGAAATTGATTTAGCCAACATCAAAAAATGCCATCCAGAGGTGGCAGTCACGGTGGCCACTGAGAGCGTGAGCATTTCTGAGGGTGTAACAGCATTATAGTGAGACGGGTAAAGAGGGATTTAGTTGATGTGCTTAATGCTGCATGGTGATTCTGGGATAAAAGAACTTCCTCTGAGGCCTTTTAGAAATTAAACGTGAAGACAGTAAACAGTGAAAGTGTGCTGTTTGTTGAGGGAGACGGCTTACCCCTCGCTGTTGATTGAGGAGTTTCGTGACATGGTCTTGGGGGACATGTCGTAGTCAGAGTCAGAGCGGTAGAGAAAAGATTCCCTTCTCTGGCTCTGAGGGAAGGGGGGATGGAGCACCAGCCCAGGACTCGCCTGCGAATCCATAGGGCTGCGGCCAGGAGAGGGCCCATTCTCCCCATCATAGCTGTGGAGAAAGAGAAACCAAAAAGACATGGAGGAAAAAGTTCAAACAAATGTCTTGTCATTTAGCTCGAACGATGATTTGCAAGTGGCTGCATTAGATTTCCAGTCTCTGGCCAACACAGCACAGATAGAGATGTGGAACACAAACAATCATGATTGCCTCTTACTTCAGAGAAAGCAAACGCTCTCTGAATGTATAAAGAGCTGATGAAGACTGTGTCACCCTGAAGAACCATTAAAGGAAATCACCAGCCTAATCAGAGGAGAATCTTAAGCCGCCACTTTACAATTTATATTCTATAGGCACTTTGTGGTTTAAAGGAACAGTTCACGCAAAAATTAAAAAATCTGTTATTACCTGCTCACCCTACTCACATCTTTTTCCACACAAGGAAAAAAGTTAAGCTGTCAAGCTCCAAAAAGGACAAAAACACCATAAAAATAGCCCAAAGGACTCGGGTGTTTATTCCAAATCTTGGAAACAAAAAAAATAATCTTATAATAATAATAACCTTTATTTTCTATAGCGCCTATAAATGTACATCTCAAAGCGCTGTACAAAACCAATTAAAACAGCAAAAATACAACACACAAAGAGACATAATACACAGTAAAATAAACTAACCTAAAAAAATGCTAACCTAAAAAAAATTTGTTTTAAGCTGAGATTTAAAAATACCAAAAGATTTGGCTTGCCTGATCTCAGTTCCAAAGTTTCCAAAGTTTTGGAGCTAATGAAGAAAAAGCCCTATCTCCCATTAATCTCAAACGAGTTGAGGGAACAGTTAAAAAACCAGTTTCCCAAGAACGAAGATCACGTTTCGGAGTATATGGAGTTAAAAGCTCGGTCAAATATTGGAGGTGCTAAACCATGCAGTGCCTTGTAAGTAAGCATCAAAATCTTGAAGTCCACCCTAAACCTAATGGGAAGCCAGTGCAAAGACTCCAAAACGGGAGTAATATGGTCTCGTATATTAGTTCTAGTAAGGATTCTGGCAGCCGAATTTTGCAAAACCTGCATTCTGTTTAAGGTAACTTTTGACACGCCAGCTAACAAGGCATTACAGTAATCAATACGCAAAAAAACACAAAAGTGTTTATCAATCTCTCAGCAACAGTAAACAACAGCATTGGACGCAATCTGGCAATATTTCTAAGATGTAAAAATGAAATTTTAATTGGCATACGTTAGATTGGCATAAAAAATTACTCCTAAATTCCTCAATTTTTTTTGAAACTCCATAGTAGAGCCATCAGGAGTTAGAGTGACCGGCTCTGCTTTGCCTAGTTGGTGGGGTGAACCAACAAGCATAATCTCAATCTTTTCACTGTTAAGACAAAGAAATTCATCTGTCATATATTCCTTCATCTTAGAAATACACTGAGAAAGAAAATTAACAGGCACAATTTCATTAGGTCTAAAATGAATGTAGATCTGGGTATCATCTGCATAGAAGTGAAATTTTAGACCAAGTGATCTCAAAAGCTGGCCAAGAGGATAAACATAAATATTAAAAAGAAGAGGGCCCAAAATTGACCCCTGAGGGACGCCAGACTGCACAACATTAACCTCAAGTTTATTCCAAATCTTGGGAACAAAATATACAAAATTCTAATCTTCCCCTTCACAGAAGGTTTAATGTCATAAAACTGCATTCCTGTAGCTCAAACAGTAAGGCAACGCCAAGCTCATTGGTTTTATTCCCAGGGAGTGACTGAACTGATAAAAAATATATAAGTGGTATTGGATAATGCATAAGTTGGTTCTGGTAACTGAATGTGATATGTCAGTTCAAATATGCAAAATTGAGAAATTCAGTACTTAATTCACATGAAAATGGTGGACTTCTTTTATTGCTTTTTTTGTCCTTTATGTTTCACAAAAAAACAACAACAACATGAGGGTGAGTAAATAAATCTATAATTTTAATTTTGGGCAAACCACTCCTTTAAGCTTATCACTAAACGTCGACATCTGTGGACGGACTAATCCGCACAGTTTTGGCATTAAACGTGACTAGTGGAAAAGTACCGGATACGGTGTCTGACCCCATCTGGGGTTATAATATGTACTGTATTTGTTCAGTTATCATGGCTCAGTGATAACGAATGAAAACTAGTCATCTGGAGAGCCTAATGACTGCAGAGCTGAAAGTGAACATGGGACCTATTGCAGGTCATTCGCCAGTTGTAAACAAGACATATAATGCCACCAAAGTAGGAAGTAGGAACTTGCAATATAATGGACAGGGAGAAGGCCAAGAACAGCTCATCCTTGAGCTGAAGGCCAGGAGCCATTTGACTGGGATCACCTGTGCTCCTGCACTCTGTGATGGAGCCTCAAACGTCTAAAAAAGCAACAGGGGTCATGGGCGTGGTGCGATAGGAGCCAAGCAGAAGAAAGATAAGGCTTTTGCATGGTTTCTAATTCCTCTGGTTCCAGCCTCCTCTGAGTCATGCCGGGAATTATGGGTACACCACACCAGAGAAACCTCAAACCAAAGCCTACACTTCAGAAGTGAAGCGTCAGAACTCGGTGCCTGCCAAGACTTCAGTCTCTCTCTCGCACTGTCAGTCACTCTTCCTCCCCCTCACTCCCTCGCTTCTCACAGACAAAATACTAAAACCCCTCTTCCCACACACAGCGCATAAGGCATCCAAGCTCGTCTCCTGCCCCTAACTGCAGAACTGAAGGTAGTTTTAGCCTGTGGCTATACGAAGGGCTCCTGTCTCGGTGCTGCTGTTGGTGAGCTGGATCTGGACTACGGCTAGGTCCTTTGTTCCGGTTGTTTACTTTTCTTTATCACACAGACGTCAAGTGCAACAGCACTCGAAACGTGCCTGAGCTGCTTCTTTTCTAGCAGCTGCGGTCCCCTCTCTCTAGAGATCCTGAGTGATGTGAATCCACAGTAAACAGGCCCTACCTGTCCTCTCTACATGTCCCTCGAGACAAACACCGCCTCGGGCTCTTGACCTACACCTCATCTTTCTTTCCTCTACATCTCTCTCTCTCTTTCTCCCATCAGTCTGCTTTCCATCTAAATCCTTCCTTTTTACAGTTGCTTCCTGTTCTCACACTCCTTATCTCGCAGCTCACAGAATTCCTCTCGCAGCGATGGGAAAACCAAGCGACGTGAGCGACAGGAGAAAATGGAGTGCACGAGTACTTGAAAAAGGGAGCGAGGAGAGCAAAAACATAAAGGAGAAGAGGAAGAGCAAGAGGGAGGGAGGTGACTCATGGCCTATCTAAATATTTACTTGCCCTAGGTGCATGTACAGCTTCTTCCAAAACGATTTTATTTTTCCAGCAACAACTGCAACACCATTTACACACGTTTGACCTTAAAGAGTTCTGTCACTATCTGCATAACGACATCAGTCTGGCTTTACTGCGCAGTAGAAATAGCAGCTCTCTGTAAACCCATTTCCTATTTTTATGGAGAACAAGCTCTTTTTTTTCCTGCATTAACACGGTGCCTTTCGCTCAGAGTGTGTTGTTTTTCTTCCACTGTATTCATGCCTGTAGAAGGTAGTGTGTGTGTGTGCGAGAGAGACTGAGTGAATGTGTGGGCGCACACGAATGCTCCTGCTTTTCTGTCTGTGCTTCACTTTAATGCCTCCTGTAGTCATGTGACATTTGTGCTACTCAGAGACTATCCACAAAGGAGTGAACAATAAGAAATGAGAAGCCTTGTCAACCAGTTTCCCCTTCTCCTCCCCTTTCTTGTGTTGTGATTCGAGCCCTTCTATTTCTCCTTCACCCTCATTCTATCTCCTTCTCTGCTTCTCTGGCTTTTTACCAGTCTGTCTTCTGTCTCTCAAAGATCTCTGCCTTTCACTGCCTCCTTCTCTGTAATTTGTGTCTATGGCTGTGACTCAGCCCAGAATAAAAAAGCAAGCAGAATGCATGCTGGGATATTGGAGTTCTCATTTGTTTATAAGGCGCAAGAGACACACTCACTATACCCTCATAGACACACAATCAAAGGCCGTTTTTGTGTGTGTGTGTGGAACTGTCGTGTCAAACACCTCATCGCTAAACCTCGTCAAAACTGAGCTCCAAGAATTGAAGGAATCAGATTTTTTTAATAATTATTATAAATAGCACTTACATTGAGCTGCACAATTATGTGTGAAAATGTGCAAATGCAGTGTATTAATGTGCATAAATTAATTGTGGATGAAGCAGCCGCAATTATCTTGTTTCAGTAATCAATAAGGGTAGAAATGTATTAAACTTTCATCATAGATAATGCACTCGCAAAATACACACACAACACTTTTTTTTTTCTTTGCGCACAGTGATTGCAGGATATGCCATTGGCAGCTCTCACTTTCATTTGGTGATAACAGAACCCCTGAAGAGTAGCACTCTGGACAACAACATGATCATCATAGGGGGCACAGAGGAAAGGATTTGTGCCAGCTGGGTGAGTCTTTCCTATAAAGATAACACATTAATGTCAGCACATCCCCGTGCTTCTGAAAACCAACCCTAGCGCATTGGTTGGGCTGTTTATGTATCTGTTAAATGACATTGGAGTAACTGTAACAAGCTGCAACCTGACAATAATTCCAGGAGACAATTACTGCTTTCAGATACAAAGATGCTTAAACTGATGTGGACCTAAAGTCTAAAAATAAAGGAAATGGTTATATTGTATAAGTCCAGAGGGAAGAATTCAAATTCATAATAGCTCACACGTGTGCCCCCCGAAGGCTTCACACAATGAGGATTTCTTACTAACGTCCAAGAGGCTGTCTGAACGTGACAGCACAATTAAAGTAATTTGATAAATGTTGTACCGTCCTCTATGCGGTCCAGGGTAGTATGAGTGGAGGCATGATTCTTCCTATTCACAGCTTTTCGGGGTGGCAGATTTGAAATTAATTGAATATAAATCTGGGCCTATGAGTAATGGAGTGTGTAATGCTCTAAAAGAAGAAGCTTTGAGTCACAAGGACTAAAAGACGACTTACAAAATAAACGCATACACTAAA